ATAGAACCATTTATTTACCGGAAGTCTTCACTGAATCCTTCGAAAAACAATAAAGCAATTTTCAACTATGAGTTTATATTTTTTCATTATTAGGCTCAAAATATAAATACTGACCCTAGTATTCTCACCATTAGTATGTTTATTTCTTATTTTAAACTGACCTTGTCTTTGATTACATTTATTCATACTTGTGTATTAAATTACTTAATAATGAATATATATACTTAATAATAATATTTAGGTATACATATATATAACTTCATAGGAGATAATAGGAACTAACATAAATCAACAATTTTTTTAAATCGCTTGACTTATTGTTAGCAGGTTAAGTAAACTAGAATTAAATAACCAGTAATTGATTTATTCACATGAATATCATTATAATGCAATTATTTAAATACAATTAGTCTTAGCTGACATTTTATCCTTTTTTTGCCTTTTTTAATCTTTATCTTTAGGAATGTATTTAATTTACTATATATAGATTTAGTAAATTACACATATAAGACATATAATGTACAACGTGCAACAGACAACAGACAGACTCTAGATTGTGCAAGTACGTGCACTTCAAAGATTGGTATTGCAGCACCAAAATAAAAAGAAAAATTGATTGAATTTTGTCAGCCCCACACATCAGCTCTTTAATGAAGTTATTGCAAAGTCGGGCGGTTCAGACAGTTCATTAAAAATGCATTAAAAAAAACGCCAGTGAAACAAAACAAGTTTGTCCACTCAAATTGTTTCAGCTGTAAAATATGTGCATATTTTAATCACATATAGGCCTCAAATTAATTTTCACTCTTGAGATAAATACATTTTCGGGATCATATACGCGATGAAAATTAAGATTCTAATCATTTGGTATATGCAAGTAGTCAAATAAATTTTGAAATGTAGGCGATATTTATTCAGATAATAATTATAAAAAATAAATTAAAATAAAATAGACCCTCACAGTTTATTATTTCACCACATATGCTGTTTATAAACATAAATAATAGTAATAAAAATATCTAGTTTTGGCGTTGATGAACTATACCTAAGATATAATGTGCTATGCTTGACAATAGTTTCCTAATCTAATGCAGACAAATTCAGGGTATTGGCCAACTTAATTATATATCCTGATTTAAAAATCAGACTTTATTTAACATCAATTTCCGGCAATCAAAGATCGCAATCAGTTTAGTAAGGCGAACGTGTGCCTTTCCAAAAATTCTCAATACCAACTTTCATTAAGATCATCATAGACACATATTATTATTACCAGAGGCAAAAGTACACTGTAAACCATGATATCAAATATCTCTGAAGAAAGTCTGCTAAACTAACTCGAACAAATTAGGGCTTTTCATTAACCTTTTAATATATTTTGATTCAAAATTCCAGATTTGTTACGACCTGATTCCTACCAATCACACAATACGATTAGATAACTTAGATGAATGTTTAACTTTAGCATTTTCAAAAACTGCAAGTCTTAGAGCCTATTAATCCCATCTCTGAAAACGGGAATTAAGAGAATCGAATTTGGCTAATAAATCAGTAATTCAATATGTTCATATTTATTAGAACTGAAACAGTTTTTTACATAATTGTTGTTAATGCATATGAGCTGTTTCCACTTCCTTTGGAGTTAACCCAATTTTTTGCAAATAGTTTATATTCGTAGTTTTGCTTACAAGTAAATGTCCCACAAAAAAGTTCAGCTTCTATGGAGACAGTAAGGGGATTCTCCTTGATAGATGTACCAAATACGTTATATTTGTTATATATATATATTTAACAAAAAATTAAAACCTATAATGTGAAAAGTTTAATAAAAAAAAATAATGTTTTTACTTGGAAACTAGTAAAAATTAATGTTAGTAAAACAAACTGAAGGATAGATAGATTAAGGAGTGATTAATATTGGAGATATAGAAAATGAAATGTTCTAAGCGAAATTTAGTCATAGTATTTCTTTTAGGAAATAATATATGTTTTCGAAGACGTTTTTACCGAAATAGTCAGAGCCAGAAGTCTGAATAAAGTATTCATTATTTAATTTTTCATTTGTTACATATTAAATTAATAATTTCCACTATTTTAAACTGAAAGTATATCAAGTTAAATTTTATCGTTATACCACTAAATGTATTTTTAATTTTAAGAGATAAGTTTATATATTCAATGTTTACATTGCTGAAGATATTCTGATATTTTTGTTAATAGTTCTTAATGAGTTTTTAAGAACTATTGCTATTTCAATTTTTTAATTATTTTATTTTAATAAAATTTAAATTTAATTTATAAATAAATTTAATTTCAATAAAATTTTTAATTATTTATATAAAAAATTTAATAATATTTCTTTTTTTTTTACAGAGAATTGTTAAAGATTGGAGTACTACGATTGACGTTCTAAATATCTAAGTAATTTATAAAAAATATTAAGCAAAATTACAATTAAAATCATCGCATAATATTAATACTATATTAAATAAAGATTTTTTAGAAATTAAATATATATATAAAATAGTTTCCTGGAAATTTTAAGCCAAAACATTTAGCAGTAAATATATATATTAAATAATTCTATAAGAAGTGCTTTCAACAAAAGTGTATTTTCAAACTATTAGAAAACATTTTAATAATTTCAAAATTAAAAAAATATATTAAAGATTTAGTTTTAGGAACTAAATATTACAATACAATAAAACTATAATAACTATAATGCAATAAAACTATAATAAAAAAATTTTATTTATCTTAAATAAAAAAAAGTGTTACAAAGCAAAGAATTTGTTTAGCATTTTATTATTAAATACGTTTTTAATTGGAAAATATTATATATAATATTAATTTCTAAAATAAAATGATTTGAATTTAGTTAATATGTATTGATCAAAGGGTACAACTTAGCAAAAAAACCAAAATAAAAATATTTAAAAAATTCTAATACAATATTAATTTAATTAATATTAATAAATATTAAAAATTTTTTTTAATAATTATAACTTAAATAAAACTAAGATTCTTTAACTTGCTTGACTTAAATACTTGCGGTGTTTATATTTGAATGGTTTCTGAGGATAATTGGACCACTGATACTATGTCCGATACGGACATGCTTGACTCAAAAGCCGATGCTTGCGGTGGAGCTTCCAGCTCAAATTCACCTCGCACTCCACCGAATTGTGCTCGTTGCCGTAATCACGGTCTAAAAATAATACTTAAAGGACACAAACGTTATTGTAAATTTCGTTTTTGCACTTGTGAAAAATGTAGACTAACAGTTGAACGTCAAATAAACATGGCACAAAAAACAGCAGAGCGTAGAGCTCAGCAACAAGATGAGTCCCGACAATTGCACATTAATGAAGTACCTCCTGTAGTACATCCATGGCCTACATCATCTTTTCATCATCAGCATCATTTGCATCAGCATCTTCACTTAAACCAAAATCATCATGCTGCTGTTGCAGCAGCGGCTACAATGAGATCACGTGCTTCAATAACAGCATTACGCTCCCCACCACCACCTTTACCAACAGCCCATGTAGAGCATCTCTTGCCTTCAAATGAAATACGTTGTGGTGGTGGCAGCAATGGTGGTGGTGGCAGCAATGGTGGTGGTGGTAGCAGTGGCATTGCTGCAGTCAATGGCAGTTCATCTGATCATCAAATGTCTTCTGCATCAACCCCACCACAATCTTTGGAAGGTTCCTGTGATTCAGTTTCTCCTTCACCATCGTCAACGATGCCCTCTAATGCCAATGGATCAAATTTTCCACGTAAGTTATAATATTACAAAAAAAATAATTAAAAAAATGCATACGTATACATATTTATAATTCAAAAATTCATATTTCAAGATTTTTAAAATTAAACTATAATACAATCTTAGGAAATATGTAAATACCTTTATGTCATACTCTTACATATTGCACACATGTAATATGATCTATTCGTAGAGAGTGTAATTCAGTTATTACTTTTGTGCAATGATTAAACATTATTGCATAGCAACGGTTTATATCCATAAAGTGAACTATTTTGGACTTTGGATTAAAACAGAAAAATGTGTACTTTCTGCGTAAAAAGTATTTGAATTTTTTGATTCGAAAAGCGTGTGTAACAGATGTCACCATAATTTTTTGTGTAAACTGATAAACTTTACTGTGTAACCATGTGACAGTTTTTGAAAATACTACCTATTACTTAGTGTGCTTTCATCAGCTGGTTTTATGAATATACTTTTGAAAACTTTGTCAATCCACAAAGATTTGCTAGTGCAAAATTTTAAGGTTTTAATATCTTACGAATATGATCTACTAACACGGTACTCATCTTGCATTACCCTGTCATGTGTCATGTGTAGCTGTCATCGAAGCTATCAGTACATCTCCGAAAAAGAGGTTTGGAGACGATTGCGGCCATAAAAGTAATTTCGTTGAAGAAGTTTAGTGTACCAATAATGAATTAAAGATTTGGTTAAGCATTGGTATATTTGTATTCCATTCAATGAGATATTATATCAAACACCCTTGTTCTCTTCAGTTGCAAGTATCTGAGTTTCAAAAATGAGTGAATTTCGTCATTGGTACTACAACTAATTTGGGCTCTTTTGGAGGCTCGTTTAATTTTTTTTCGACTGATAGAGTTTTGAGTTTTATGTACAGTGAGTGCTTCCAACGTACTAAGATCCTTTAATCACATCTGTAAGTACTTTATTTGACATCATTGTATAACATTTTTGTTTTTGATTGCCTGACTAGTGATAGCGTCGTAGCATCATATGGATTTTAGAAGTTGATTTTAAACGTGTACTTTATACTGGGATACCTATATATGATTGCTGACTCATAAGCTCGTATACATTTTGGTATTTGATACCCAACTGCTTTCTTTTAATTTCGCAGTGTTCCTTACATAGTAATTATGTGTCAACCGTTATTGCGATCTATTTTACGTTATTAAAGAATGATACAACCAAGTCGTCTATGTAAAATAAGCAACGCGATATTTATTTTTTGGTCGAATTTACGTAGATTTACCAATGTTAAGTTATAGATGCCTTATTAAATGTAAAATATTATTGATATTTTCTTTTGAGCTTTTCCGCTTCAGTTTTTTTTTTTTATCAAACTCAAACTCTCTTTACATAGTTATATTATATAGCATCTCAGGTGTAGAACTTTTCGAACGGTATACTTTGTTATGTGTTTGTATTCATGTATTAGCTTAAAACATCAAGCTATCTATATCTTAGAGAGTATAGAAGATCCCTAAAATAGTTACATTAAAATAAAATTATAAATCTAACATTGTTCAGTATTGATAGTGAAGTAATTTAGTTTTCGAATAAATTTTATAAATGTGTCCAAATATGTTCTAATAAGCATATTCTACATATTTTATATTACACATTTAATTGCATTGAATAAATTAATTAATAACAGTTTAACATAATTAAATGCGTTAGCGTTTGTTTATGAAGTGCTTGTAATACTTTTTTATTTAGAAAATTTGCAACGATTTCCATAAACACATATTTTTTATTACTTGAAAAATTGAAATAAATTGAGGCATAAATAATTTTACAGATATTAAGTTTTGCTGCACATGTTTGATGATACGCTTAAAATATATTCAGTATTACTAGGTAATTTTAATTTCCAATATGTGAAAAGTCGCTGCTACAGGTTATTCAGGAAGTATCTTCGCAAGCCTCAATCTAGCAGTTGAGCTATCAATCAGAATGAAGCAAGTGTGTTAGCTGCAGCATTAAGAAAGTTGAAGTATATAATATCGAATTTAAGATGATATCAGCTAAATGTTATCTACTAAGATTTTCAATAATTAGTAAAACAGAAGGTGTACAATATTAATATTACGTGGCTAAAATAAATAATGCAATAAAATTGCAAGAATAGAAACTGGACTGATGGCATTTTAAACCAAACAATAATAGAACAATGTCAGATTTGATGTTTGTTGTAGTTGTATGCGTTTCCATAATTAAGAGTTAAATAAAAACTAAAAAAGCATTAATCAAAATAAAAATAATCATAAATTGTAAGCTTTGCAAGTTATTTGATCTAGCATAAATCTAATGGACGATCGAATATAATAATAGGTACAGCCTACATCGTACCCATTTTTTACAATTAAAAATTCATTCAAGTCAGATCAGACCTTATATGAATATTTATATGATTTTGTGTCTTTTTGGTTTAAATTAGAATAGTAAATTTTCAAAACTATTGAAACGTAAAATAAATAAAGTAATTACTTTTAATTTACATACTATACGAACAAATAATATCCGTATACAAATATGTCACTAAAAATTCTAATACGTATAAAATAATTAAATATTATGTAGAATCTATTTGAGCAAGTGCAGTTGAGCACTTTTACTCTATTAACTACGAGGTATTTTCAAAACCTCTCTTTACGCCTTGACTGGATAATTGTTGATCAGTTCATCAGACTAAGCAATAATTGACCTCAAATCTGCATGTCTCTCCGAGGTGATTTTTAATACACTACACTTCAATTCAATAACATGTCAATTTCCAATTATTAACAATAATCTGCTATTAAAAAAAAAGCATATTTATGTTGATCCACGTCTTCTATTATTTCTGACATTATATTGGGAAAAGTTGTATGTTGTGAAGTTTAAACGTAATAGTATGATTGGTTTATATTTGGCTGGAAAAACACAAGTAGCTATCGTTCGAGCCCTATAACATCTAAATGTGAACAAATCCTAGCTCGATACCGTGATACTGATAGCGTTGGCCGACACCCAGGAAGTGGACCAAAAAAACAGTAACAACACCACAAATGATTCGTAAAGTGAAGAAGCGAATTGAGCGAAAGCCACGTCATAGCTAAAATCGAAGAGCAAGAAGTTGAACGTATCACGAAAAAAAATGCAACACATTCTGAAAAAAGAGCCAGTGTTGGTTTCGTTTGGTGGATTGCCGAATTTGATTTTTTCTGATGAGTCACCATTCGTAATTGAGCAGTACGTAAACAAGCCCAACGATCGAGTTTACTTGTTAGAGAGGTCATCTGAAAATTTATACATACATACTAGATGTATGTATAAATGGTTCGTGTTCATCGACCGTGGGGTAAAACTAACTTCAATATCTGTCCAAAAATTATTTTAGAAGGAGCACTAAAGCTCTGAGCAGATGAATGTTTCATTTGCAGACATTGGATATTCTAACAAGACTCAGCACTATCGCACAAAGCCCGCTTCAACCAAGAATGAATAAAGAACAACATTCCGTGCTTTATTTTATCAACACTTAGATCAATAGATTTCTTGATCAGGTGAATTTTGAACAGAAAGGTTGGCACTAAGAAATACCAAAATGTCGATCGTCTGAAGCAAGCGCTAAGCCGAGAGTGGGCCAAAATATCGCAAAGCCTATTGCGAGTAGCGTACGATAGCTTCATTGGCCGTTTAAAGACTATAATTAATATTAGAGGTGGCCATATTGAACCAAAATAAATTAACTTAAAAACTTGAAATTTTTTTCGCATATTTTTTTTATCTTTTATTAAACAAAAATAAACAAAATAGAGAGTACACACTTTGTTGCTATTTTCGTCACCCATTCTGTAAATATAGAAAAATTTTGAAAAAAAGTCTATTTATTTTTAAATATTTGATTTTATTTTAAAAGAAAATAAAAGGAATACAAATGGTATATTATCGCACATTTAGGTATATTAAATTATAAAGACTATACATTATCTATGTACAATTAAAATGATATCAAAAATTGCATATTATATTACTACTGTATTACTCTATATACTAAAAGTATTTTTATATATTTTTGACTATAGTTTATATCATATTAACTAAATAGTAATAAATATTTTCAAAACTATAAATAAAAGAGCGTCAGAACAGAGGATATTACTATTCCATGATGACCTAAGATATAAATTCTTAGGTATTAAATATAAATATTATTCTGAAAGTTCAGATTTCAATATTCCATGTCAAGCCAAAAATATTGTACATATTGATGATGTATGACGATATAGATATATAATTTTTTTTTATTCGATCCTGCATGATAATTGTAATCGAGTTTAGTAATTTTAATACATATTAAAAGAAAAAACAAAACTAGATTCACAAAAATCACTATTACCCAATGTTTTCTAACCTTTCGCGTGCAATACTCCAGTTAAGAGTCTTTATAGTTATTCCTATTCCATTAAATGTATTCTTTTTGGTTATTCCCATATCTAATCAGAAGACATTTGTTTTGTCTGGCAGCTATAGATAGAATCTAAATAGCATAGCTATTCGTAATTCCTGCTTTGAGTTTGCATTTATGAACTAATAGCATAACAAAGTCTAGTTAGAAATGCTTATAGAAATCTGTATCGGATTATGTGAACACTTATATTCACATAGTCTCTATCTCTATCTATCTACATGGTTCGTAACTTCAAATTGCTCCCTAAATAGTAATTGATCCCCCAAGTAGTCAAATTGTAGTACTTACGCATCATGTTAGGAAAAACATCTATAGCCAATCAGTTAATCATTAATTAAGTGATTTGTCTTCTTGATTTGATTTGTGTATTCTGTTGGCTTTATTTCGCATCCAAAAATATAATGAAATATTAAAAAAACTTTTTACGCAAAAGAAAAGAGTACAAAAATATTCTGTATTCTATTTTAATAAAAAGAACATCTGTTGTAAAAACGCTTGCTGGCGTAAGTCATGTCACAGTTTAATAGTTCTAAAATACCTTCAA